TTAAGAATGTGAATGTAAAACGAGAAGTTGTAAGAGACAAGTCAAACGTTAAGGGAAAAAGAAATTAGAGAGAGAGAGAAAGAGAGAGAAAGAGAGAGAGAGAGAAACGTTGTTCTCGGTTTCAACGGCGTGCCATCGACGTCAACGTCAATTTGCGGGCCGACGCGTTTAAACGTTTTCATTGTTCGCCTTCCAACGCGCGGCAGCCGCGGAAAAGCGACGAACAGGAATGTTCGTGTGGAGAACTAGAAGGGGTGAAGAACACACGTAGGCGTCGTTCACTCTACGCCACGTTCGGTGATATCAAAGAGAGAAAGGAAGAGAAAGAGAGAGAAAGAGAGAGAGAGAGAGAGAGATAGAGAGAGAGAGAGAACGAGAGAAAATGACCAATTATCTTCCTCGAAGAGTAGCCGCCACGGAAGTACCTATTACATTAATCAGCCTGAAAAAACGAAATTTTCCCCAAGCGTATTTTCGCGTTAGGGGGTAACCGCGACTTTCATTTAACTTACCTAGAGGTAGATAAACTACCTCGTAACTCGGTGCCCTGCCTCTCCACTTACCGGCCCGTTTTTCCCGATACTTTTTCTACCTCACTTTCTTTCTCTCTCTCTCTCTCTCTCTCTCTTTTTCTCTCTCTTTCTCTCGTTTACTCTCCTCCTCTATCCCTCTAACTAACATCCCGCCGGCTACTAGGTCCTCGCACTACTTTATGTCTAACGAGAAAAACGGGGTAGTAAAAGAGAGAGAGAGAGAGAAAGAGAGAGAGAGAGAGAAAGAGAGAGAGAGAGAGAGAGAGAGAGAAAGAGTGAAAAAAAAGACGATGACCATCCTCGTTCACTTTGTCCTCAACTCTTCCCCACCGTTTTTATTTCTTGTCTCTCTTTTTCACCGGGCATTGCCGTCAGCCATTTTATTTTTTTACCTTCTTCTTTATCAGCACAAGAGAGAATCTCCCGTTCACGTTTCCTCCTGAAAGAAGTGAGTAGCGATGGTGGTGGGGTGTCTCATCCGACTAGGATGAAAGAGAGAGAGAGATAGAGAGACAGAGAGAGAGAGAGAGAGAGAGAGAGAGAGAGAGAGATAGTGAGAAAGGGTGGTGCACGGAGAGACGCACGGTTATTTTAATGAGAATCCGGCCGCGCGTTTGTGGCGCCATCTACGTCTGCTGCCACGTCTAATGAACGCCCGTGCAAATATTATTTCTGCTTATGTACTCGCCAACTTGGTACGACTTTCGCCGCTCTCTAATTAATAATGCTAAACAGACGAGTCGACTCGCGCCCTCTCTATCTATCTATCTCCCTTTATCTATCTCTCCTTATCTCTCTTTATCTATCTCTATCTATATCTTTCTTTACCTACCTCTACCATCGTGCTTTTGCGCGATCTCTAATGCGCTGCTGACGATGCTACGTAGAAGAGGATTGAAAAGGTGGGTGGGGGTGGGAAAAGAGGGAGAAGGTTTGGGGTGGTTTGGGACCTTTGAGGAGGAGGAAGTGGGTGAGTGGATGGGTGGGATGATGATGTCTTTCCCATCGCTTTATCACTTCTTGCTTCAATGCTTTTTTCCTCGAGACCAAAGAAACGAGTCGATCGAGAATGAAAATACAAAGGGACGTGGAAGAATTTTCTTTTTCTTAATTTTCTTTTCTTTTTCTTTTGCTTTTTTGTTTGTTTCTTTTCTTAAATCGAAAAGACTCTCCTTTGGTGAAGCCAACCGCGAGGGGTAAGAGTGTATGGGGTTGGGTTTCACACTTTGTAACTCTCTTCGAGAATGTGTTAGGAACGCAGGGAGTCAATGGAAAGAGGTATGGTTTTCGTTCGAGAGACTTCGTACGATGTAGTTTAGATGATGCGCAAACGTTTAATGAATATTCGCGTCGTTAAATCGTGTATGTAAGACGCAAGAGAGAGAGAGAGAGGGGGGGATGGGTTGGGAGGAGGGAGAAGTTAAAGTATATTCTCAAGCGGTTCGACGAATTCCCACTGTTACCACTGTTTGCGGATTCCGCTCGGTTGCTTCGGAGTTTCATTGATCTCGTTGCTCTCGGAGCCAGCTTATTCGAGTCCTTCGCTGGTTCTTTACTTTGTCGGGGCAATAAAGTTAGGCGAGCAGCGATATTAGACAGATATTTCGTCCAGAGGTAGAGAAGATCCTTCTCTCCGGCATCTCGTCCTCCCCCTTCTCTTTCTCCTTCATCGTCATCGTCCTACTCCTCCTCATTCTGCTGCTCCTCCTCCTCCTCCTTCACCTCCTCCTCCTCCAGGCCAAAACAAATTTAATAAAGTCACTATTTCCGTGCCAATTTCGAGGCCTTAACTGCTCGTGTGTCACCTTCAATCTCGATACTCGGCGTTTAAGCTGATATGCATGTTAACGACCGGCTAATTCGGTCAAATTGATCGTAAAACGCCGTTGACCATCCCGCTCCGATGGATTTTATTCATGGAGCCTTGATTAACGTCGAACGATATATCTCTCACACCTCTAGCATTTCGCCGTTTTTACAAGCGACTAGTATTACTCTTGAAATTTTTTCATTTTAACAAACGTTAACAACGGCTAGGTCCTACGACCTAAGGGACAATGAATTAAAAAGTTCGATATATGTCTATATTAATCTTTCTTTAATTTTTCTATTTCTCTCTTTGTTTTTGTTTTTCTTTTTTCTTTTTTTTTTTTTTTTTTTCTATTCCCCCTTCATATATTTCATTACGGCCATTAACCCTTTTATAATGTCCCTGATTCCCGATTTCATATTTCATATTTCCTATTCCCATTTCTATCGTTTTATGATCAATAGACTTTTTACTTCTTTGAAAATAGACCTTCGAGAAAAATCATTTTCCGTGAAGTTAGGAAATCTAAGAGAAAAAGTTTAGGAAAGTTCGTTGAAAGCTTTCGATCGGTCTTTACCAATCGTTTCAAGTTCGCAACGTTTTCACGAAGGTTCCTTCCGTCAAACTATATCACCGTCGGCAGCACTTTGGCCTCGGTATTATTAGTCTTTGGAGTTAGGGAGTACGCATGGACTCGAATCTCCAGGCTCGCTCGCATGGTTAACTTTGGCAAACAGGAATTACCATTTTATTGGGTGAGTTCTGGCGCCCTCTTAGCCAGCCAGCCAGCCCTTCCTACCTCCTACCCTGGCGCACTTCACAGCGACCCCTAAACGCGTCGATTGGAATACCTAATCGTTCAGGGACCATTCAGCACCCCCCCATTGTTCCACCGACCAGTCGTTGTTGGTGCTGTTAACGTCGAATCCTTTCACGCTCTGACGCTATCGCATCATCTTTTTCCTTTTCTTTTGTTTTCTCTTCTTTTCTTTTCTTTTCTTTTTTCTCTTCTTTCTTTCTTTCTTTCTTTTTCTTTTTTTGTTCTCTTTTCTTCTCTTTCCCCTTTTTTTTTTGGTTTTTTCTTCCTCACGAAAAAGACGATCCCTCCAAGTGGTAATCAGGGGCGAACGTGCTTACGAATTATCGAATCTTGAATGTCGGTTCTTGGTATCGATCAACGACGGATCCTATTTAACGGAGAGAACACGTACATCAAAAGGAATAAAAAGAAAATGGAAAAAAAGGGCCTCTTCCAAACTGATTTTACTTATGTAGTCGCTTTAAAAAAATAGTCCTATTGTCTTTTTAATTTTAATTATTAAAAGTCCAATTGTAAATAAAAAAAAAAAAAAAAAAAAAAAAAAAAAAAATGAAAATTGTCAATCGGCGAAGAAACATACGCGGATTAATAATTATAAGGGATAAGGATAATGTTCGTGGTATCGTATTCGTATAAAACGTCCTCTATCCTTATATCATATTGGATGGGTTTACTGCAACATACGCTTGAACCTTTATTACGGTAAAGGGACCTTGATCGAACGACCTTGAATATGATTAAATATGTACATCAAATTTTTATTTTTATCACGAGAGAGAGAGAGAGAGAGAGAGAGAGAGAGCAGGTAATTATATACAAACAGACGTTTTCAGGAATCATTTGGGTTTAGTTTATCTACGTTGGATGATCATCGGACGCGTAGAGACAGAGATCGATCGATTATCCATCCGATCGATCATCTTTCAAGAGAGAGATCTTTGAAAATAGGAATAGAAAAAAGAGAAGAATACAAGGAAAACGAAAAAAAAAAGAAAGAAAAAAGAAAAAAGAAAAGAAAAGAAAAGGAAGAACAATCGAAAGAGCTACGAATCGAACTCGTTTGGTTTTCGTACGATCGATCTCCTTTTTCAAAAGCTTTCTCGAATTTACATTCCTCTTAATTAAGCTCTAACGCTTAATATGCACAATCCTTCATTTTTATTTATTCACTCAATCATTCATTCATTCACTCATTCATTCATTCATTTATTTATTTATTTAATTTATTTATTTACTTACTTATTAATTAATTAATTAATTTATTTATTTATTTATTTATTTTCCCTTAACGTACTAATACTGCAGAATATTGTTTATGTCAAAATGTTATTCCACCAATCCGTTCTTCCTCGTACCTTGTTTGTTTGTTTGTTTCCGAAGCTATGCCCTACAAAGAGATATTTCTAATCTTCTTGTTACCTTTTCTTTCTTTCTTTCTTTTTTTTTTCATTTTCTCTTTTTTTCTTCTTTCCTTTTTTCCCTTCTCTCGAAACGTTCGCTGTCTCAAAGAGAACGACGAATCGAAACGATCGAGCGCGCGCGCGCGCGCGCGCGGAGATACGGTCTGGCAGCTTAAAATTATACGACCGGAAGAATTCTTTTCTTTTATTTACCATTACATGAGATACGACTTTTCGATCCATATTGGCGAGAATCGACGTTTACGATCGATTCCAAAAATTCTATTTTCGAATTTTTTTTTTTCGGATTGAAATAGATGCGACGCGAGTGAGATCCGTCAAATCGAATTAAACATCGATTTAATATTGAAAGTTTAAATTTCGACGAGAAATAATTAATTAAATATTTATGGGGGGGATTCCCGTCGTTCCTTTTTTTTTTTTCTATTCTTAAGTTCTTCTTAAAATCAAAGTAGAAATACAATTCACGTGAGCGTTCGTACTCGATTTGTTATTTTCTTACGCATACACGCACGTACTTACATACATACATACATACATACATACATACATACATACATACATACATACACGCGCACACAAACACATCCACGTGTATAAACATATGATCGTCGGATACACGCATCGTCGTACACGTATTACACACGTTTTAAGTATGATTGTCACAGAAAAACACTTCACCGACTTTCAAATTGATCGAGTGCGAGGGAACGGAAACGTTTTCTTTTTTTCTTTCTTTCTTTCCTTCTTTCTTTTTGCAGCTTTTCTTTTTTCTTTCTGCGAAAAAAAAATTATGATAAAAAAAAATAGTAAAAAAAAGAAAGAGAAAAAAAAAGAAAAAACAAAAAAAGAAAGACGAAGAAGAGAAGAAGAAAAAACGAAGAAAGGAGAGAAAAAAGAAAGAATCAAAAAGAAACAACAACAACAACAACAACAGCAGCATCAACAACAACAGTTTCTCCAGCTTTCCTTTTTCCGTCGTGCCTTCAGAAACTTTTGCAAATTTCCACGATTCTTTTTTTCCTTTCCTTTCCTTTTCCTTTTCTTTTCTTTTCTTTTCTTTTCCTTTCTTTCTTTTTTCTTTCTCTCGTTTCGAAAAAGTCCCTATAACCATTTCGTTTCACTTACATACTTACATGCGCGCACCCACCTTCCTAAGATCACACTTATTGTTACGAGCATATGAACGCATAATACGAATGAAATCTCTCGAAAGATACTTTCACTCTCTTATTGATATTGCACATCATCGTGGAACGATACAATACGTCTGATCGTCTCTCATTCCGAATGGATGAGTCATTACTCGGAAAATAATCGTTTATCGTCGAACACGACTCGTAATTCTCTTTTGCTTTTTCTTCTTTTTTCTTCTTTCTTTCTTTTCCCTCCGTTCTTTTCGTCCCTATCTTCCTCCCCCACCCCTCCCCTTTTCGTTTTATATATATATATATATATATATATATATTTTTTTTTTTCTTTCTCGTCTTTTTTTTTGTCTTGTTTTTTTTTTCCTTCTCTTAGCTTTGTCTCTTGTTTGTTCTTCGTTTCAACAAATTACTTTATCAACGAATTATTTCGAATTACTTCGTCGATCGGCGCACCATCAACACTATAATCACCATCATCATCACCACCATCACCATCATCATCATCATCATCATCATCATCATCATTATCATCATCATCATCATCATCAATGTCATTACGGCAGGATCTTCCTCGACGAACACAACGAAAGCAGGTACTAACTTCTTTAGATTCCTCGGTTATAGTTCTTTAAAAACGGAGGAGAACGATTTTGTTAGAGCTTTCGGGCCCTTCTCGAAGATCCAAAAGAGTTAAAAGTTCATTCATCAACGTATATATAAATATATATATATATAAGAACGAAGAAGATGGAATTTGTACGATCAATGGAAAAATTTCGATGATGGTAAAATCGTCGATCGTAGTAATTTCCATTTCTCGTAATCGATGACAACTGCGACGATGAATTCGCCATCAGCCGTGCATGGGACATTCGGTTATCTTCTCGAGTCGTACGTTAAACTTCAGACCATTTGAAGTCCCTTGGTGATGCTCTCGACGTGTTCCTTGGCTCGCATTCTTAACGCCTGGATGCTGGTAGTACGAGGGTCGTGACCCGGTGGACTCGGAGGTGGTGGTTGGACATGACTACCTCCTCCTATGCTTGGCATTCCACCTCCCAATGTTCCTGAAGACAATCGAAACTTTTCTATCTATCTGATTTATCACACACACACACACATATATATATATATATATATATAAATTTGTTTAACAACGTTGATATTATTCTTTAAAGCATAATCTCTCGACGATCTTATATATTGATCTTTTTTTTTTTGTTCTTACTATTTCTATCTTTCTTCCTTTTTATGGGAAGATAAATTAAGATTCTCGATTAATATACAATACAAGTGCACATTAATATACGACAATTTAATAATATATAGTTTATGAATTTCATTTTGTTAATAAAGATCAATCCTTTCCGTCGAAAGATATATTAACTTTACTCGTTGGTACAGTATTTTTGGGGATTGCTTTTATCAAGAGTAAAATATATCCTTTTATATTTTATTTTCCGGTTAAAATCGTTCCAATCGAAATCCGATGCGAATGAATTTCCTCGGGCTCGATAGCAAGCAAGTGTCTCTCGATAGAGATTCAACGTACCTGGGACCGCATTAGCCACAGCGGCAACGTTAGGAGGAGAGGGCAATCGTCTCGGGGACGTTAAATAACTTGGATATCCTGTGTGCGGTGCGGCCAGGAATCCTGGTAACGCGCTCAAAAGTCCTGGCGGTGCGAGCCAAGGATCCCCTGGTAATCCAAGAGTCGTTCCACCGACATTTCTAACAGACAGAAACAATGGATATTTATGATGAACGTTTTCTAACTAAAAACTCGGTCACGTTACTTTCGTGACTTCGGCGAATATAATCGTAGTTATCAAATGTATTGTCGGTTTATATCTCTAATTAACTCAAACGTCGTTAACCTCGTGAGAGATCGATAAGAAACCCGCGAAGAGAATTTGTTATGACAGGGTTTATTATTGTCCATCTTTTAATTGATATCTCTTTCCATCACCCCCACGAAAATTGGATTTTTTCAGCTTTAACTAATTTATACAACTTTATTTACGGCCAGTTGCGAAAATGCATCGGGGAATTTATTTCTTTCTTTCATTTTTATTTTCAGAATATTTCAGGCTTCTCGACGATAACATCGTATAAGATTAATTGACACTACGATGAATGAATCTTCAATTATGATACACACACACACACACACACGTACACATATATATTGGCTACACAAAAATTCTCGACGAAAGTTCCTCAATTTTTAATAAAAATCAATAATAATGTAAAATTAATTTTAAAGTGTACCTCATATTAGCGGCGTGATGATATTCACTTAGACCAAGCCTGGCAGCCTCCATTTTCTCTTGTCTACGCCACTTGGCTCGTCTGTTTTGAAACCACAC